TGCGCATGCGCCGGGAACACTCTTGGAACGGCTTCGCTTCAGTGCGGGGGGGAGGGGAGAGAGAGACCGGCGAAAGCCGCAGGCCTCACTTCGGAGGCAAAAGGGGGGGAGAGACTGCCGAGGCTGCTCGGAGCCGGGGGGGAGAGAGAGACTGGTGAGGCCCGCCAGCTGCAAGCCGCGCGGGCCTCACTTTGGAGCCGGGGGGGGAAGAGAGAGAGAGACTGGCGAGGCCCGGGGCTTCGTTTCGGAGCCGGGGGGGAGAGGGGAGAGAGAGAGAGACTGGCGAAGCCCGGTGGCAAGCCGCGCGGGCCTCGCTTCGGAGCGGGTGGGGAAGAGAGAGACTGGGGAGCCGGGGGGGGAGAGAGAGCTGGGGGGGAAGAGAGAGAGACTGGGGGGCGGCAAGCCAGGGGTGGTAGGGAAGGGGGGGTGGAGGAGACGGGGGAACCGACTGGATGGGGGGAAGCTTACCTGCTTCTTCCTCCTCCGCCTGCTCTGTGTGGAGCTCCCCCACTCCTCCCCCCGCAATTTTCGCGGGTCCCCTTCCTTGTTTATTTCTATATGAGCTTTTGTGATTCATGCTAATTTCTTCATATACCTATCATCTGCCATCCCTCTAACATGTCAGTTGCACTAGCGAACCAATGGAGAACAACCAGTGTTTCTCATGATTGATCCCATGGTTTGTTTCTGTGGACACCCAGTTTGGTGGAAACGGAATATTAGATCTGGGTAACTTGAATAGGAATATAATTGAATATAGCCTCTTATTCAGTCACTAGTTTTCACTTCTTACTATGCGTGCTTCATTTAAGTCTTTTTTTTCCTCCTTTGACAAATGGCTCAGATGTGGAATACTCCTGTGAAGATTATTGCCATCTGGTAAGTCAGCCATACTTAATTATATCTAATTTTAGTCATTTGTTTAACCCCTGCTTTTTCATCAGTATCTGTGTACACAAACCTTTCTTATAGATATTACCAAATTCTGAAGCTGCCAAAGATGCGCACAGTGCAAAGCATAAAGGAAAACAAAAGTTTAAAGTGAAGGAAATGTATCTCACCAAACTCCTATCTACCAAGGTAACTCTTAGGTTTTATTTCAGACTAGATAACAGAAAACAGAAAGGAAGCTTCATAGGTAGAAGCTGCAACTCAGCACACGGTTACAGTATGATTCTGGTGAAGATTGATATGACTTAGGTACCCAGAACCATCTGAAAGACTGTGGCCATCTGCACCTGTACAGTTAATCCTTGTTGGAATGCTACTTCCCATGTACCCATGCAGCTCCAATAGGAGTGAGATTCCTTACTCACTTCAGTTAACCAGTAGGTACACAAACAGCTGCCCATCTGTTGACGTTCCAGTTTTGCTTCAACCCTTATTGATTCTACAAATCACATTGTTGTAGCTGTACAAGATGCAGCCATTCTTTATCTGTGTTAGGTGGGAACGTGGCAATACCAAAGATTACTGGAAAGTTGTATCGGTAATTCAAGAAATAACAAGGTACATTTTGCTGTATGTGGCAATGTAAGAAGCCCTGGATGCTTGAGGCAGGGGGGGGGGGCTGTGTTATTCAATGCTGCCCCTTTTTGTATGTATTCAACTTTTGGGTGTTTGGAATATACTCTTGTTGTGCAACTTGCCTGTGATAGATTGGGCTGATTAAGGAAATGGAGGGTTGTCTATATCTCAAGAAATCTTTATCTGTGAGCACATAGTAAAAGTTACTTTATTTCTTCTTCTCAGGTTACAATTCACTCAGTTGTTGAAAAGCTCTTTAGGAGCATTTGGACTTTGCCCAACAATAAACCCCCAGTTGCTGTCAAATATTTTTTTGATTTTTTGGATGTTCAGGCTGAAAATAAAAAAATTACAGATCCTGATGTGGTTCATATATGGAAAACCAACAGGTATATCACTTGTTAACATCTAAAATAAAGTATACGTTATGCTATTTGTTTGTTTAAAACATTTCTAGGCTGCCTTTCCACCCAAATAGGGTCTCCAAGGCAGATATTACTCTATGTACATTATTCTACTATTATTCACTGGCTCAAATTATTCATCTGAAATAGTTCTATGAAGTAGGAAATGGAAAACCTTTATTAGTGTGGTTTTACAAACTGACAAATAAGTAGCTAAGACTACAGTCCAGTGTGTGACTTCCATCAGAGGAAGCATGCATCAAATTCATGTGTTATCAATTACGGTATTATAGTGCTGAGGTAATTATCGATATTGGTTTATTTTGCAGTTTTTTTCTCCCTATTTGTTTTTGTGATTTCATGATTTTTATTATTTGATCAAATTGATGAATACTTATGCTGCAGGTAATATTTTAATTTGTTGTGCTTTATTACTTTGTAGTTTTATTATTAATTGAATTGTTTTTATGACTATTTATGTAAACTGCTTTGGATATCTGTTTATGAGTAGTATATAAATCTATTTGCTATTTTTTTTAAAAAAGAAGAGATTGGATTGTACTATCAGAAGCCCAGGCTACTTGCATTGTTGCTTGCAAGTGTCATAGGAGCTGAAACTTATAAGGAAAGGTTCTTTTTACAAGTATCTGTGTTTCTGTATTTCAGCATTTTTTAAAATTTCTGAATATTTTTTGTGACTATAGAGGCAGGATATTTTGGAATTCTGCTAGTCTTCAGAAATGCTACAAGTTGTGGACAATAGATTGTTTACTCAAGCTCTTAATGATTTGGCTGTATTTATTTAATAATTTGTCTACTTAATTTATGCCCCACCTGTATCCTCAACTGGGACTGGGAGTGGCCCTTTCTTGAAACTGATCAGACCCACAGTGCCTCTCCGACGAATTTGGGGGACCAGGTTGGTTTTGAGATATAAACCTTCGCCTCACTTGCAAGATGTCCTTAGGGTAGCAAGTGTAATGGCTTTGGGTTGCTGCTGTCATGTAAGTTTTATTGATGGCACATTGTCCCTGACAAGGCAATTCTATTTGTACTCTTAGGACCTCAACTGGAAGATACATAATATTTCCAGTTCATACAACAAAAAAGGGCTCCCAGTTATTGGGTTAAGATGAAGACTTCTCAATGTTATCTGCATATTATTGTCCTAGAACTTGGAGTTGCTACAGGATTAACTGAACTTTGCATATATGTCAGATTCTAATATGTCCACTAGTAAAATCTGCATGGAGAGGGAGGCATAGATGTGATAAAACCCAATAGATATATTTTAAAGCACCATACTACTACTACTAATAATAATAATTATTATTATTATGGGATCCGTTTTGCTTAGCCTGTGGGTTTCCTTTGGGTACCTTTAGAACATTCTTATTAGCAATGTTGAATGTAATGGGTTGGATCCAGCCAGTTATTCCATTCAATCTCCCCCAATCCCCCTCCCTTCTACCACCCTCATTCGATGTGGCCTTTGTACATGCAGGTCTCATGATTCCCAGCATAGCCCCTTTTTTTGGGTGGTCAAAGGGACCCATCCTTTCTTTTCCATCAGTGGATACCCTGATTGGATCCAAACCCTGATATTTATTCCTATACAAACTGATGTAAATATAATTGATTGATTTTGTTAATTACATGATAGTGATAACCTGTCACTCCTGTAGATGAATTGGCTCCCAAATGGTAATATTCTGGAAGCTGAAGCTGAAACAACTGATTGTGATACAAATTCCTCCATGCACAGCAAAGTTAAGCATTAAAATAAAGGGTTCTTAAATGCTTCATTTTGCTTTTTTTCTTGGTGCTGTGTAATAGTATTGCTTTCCAGTCACCTAAAAAAATATATCCAGGAATATAATCTGTAGACTAACCTATAGGTGTTTCCTTTGTCTCTGACTAGTCTTCCTCTTCGCTTTTGGGTGAATATACTGAAGAATCCCCAGTTTGTCTTTGACATGAAGAAAACTCCACATATTGATGGTTGTTTATCAGTCATTGCTCAAGCATTCATGGATGCCTTTTCTCTGTCAGAGCAGCAACTAGGAAAGGTAACATTTCACTTCCGTATGATAGCTTTCCTTAGATCGTGTCCCAACTAGTTTCAAAGGGTAGCTGTGTTGGTCTGCACTAGGACACCTAGCTTCGAGTCCAGTAGCCTCTTAGAGACCAACAAGATTTTGGGGGGGGGGGTGAGTTTTCGCGAGTCAGAGCTCTGACAAAGGGAGCTTTAGAGGGCTACTGGACTCAACTCTGGATCTTCGAAACTGGACGTTCTGCAGTAGCTCTTCAGTTGAAGTCTGTTGTTTTATTCCAGATCATTCTTCTCTAACCTGAATATCTAATTCCAGTGCAAGCATAGGCCCTTACCTAGCAAGTATAATCTGCACCCACAGGGGTCGTTTCGTAGAAAAAGAGCTAGGGGAACTCATTAGCATAACTCATTAGCATATGCCACACCCCCTGACATCACCGGAAATGTGTCATAAGGCCACACCCCCTGACATCACCGGAAGTGTGTCATAAGGCCACACACCCCGCCCCCAACGGTCCGGGCGGCTGCTGCCGGCCTTGCAGCTCCACTGCCAAGCCCCATGAGGGGCCCGGCGGTGGACCTGTAAGGCCGGCGGGAGTGCAAGGAAGCCCCTCGAAGGCCCTCCCTGGCCCCAGGCAGGCAGGGGTGGGGAGAGGCAGGGAGGAAGCAACTTACCCTCCCTCTTCTCCTGCCTCCTCCTGGCTGAATGAGGGCCGGAAGCGGGGCGGCCGGAAGCAGGGGGCGGGGCTTCGTCATGTGCCCCGCCCCCCAGTACCTCACCCGGGGAACTGCGATCCCCCGTGATCCCCTCCGAAATGACCTCTGTGCACCCAGAATCCGTTTCCCTGTGGAGAGACCCTTGCTGGATCAGGCCCATGCACGCAAAAGTATATGGATGGCTTTTTCAGAAAGCCCGCACCCAGCACCTGCGGTTGTGCGTAAAAGGATCCTTGTTGAATCGAGTCACCTAACTGATGGTTGACGGTCAATCATTTGGTACAGTGGAGGTATAGAGAACTGAACACAGTCCCTCTTTCTTCTGTCATACGAAAGGTGACCAGTATTGTCAAAACTGAGAGCATCAGCCATGCAATTGTGTGGAGACATTTCCAGCAATGTGTGGGCAACATGACTGAGTTCTGTCCTTGTTTCTTATTTTTTTAAGTACATTGAACATAAGAGGAAACCACACAGGTGGCTCATAAACTGTGGCCTAGATATTACTGGTGCTACATCAGGCACTTTAGGCTAGTCCACAGGAGCAGGCTGCAGAGGGGGCAGAAAAGAAAAGTTCTGAGAAGGCAGAGGTTAGTTTGAAGTTTTCACTGCAGTCGCTTGCACTAATGATGAGGCATGTTTAAAGTGTGTTTTAAATTGAGAGTTACAGTTTAAAGTGCACACTGTTTTTCAGTTTAAATGCTTACAAACTGAACTGGAAACAAATCAGCTTGCCTGTTGCAGTGCATCTGGCTGTAGCTGAAGCTTCAAAGAAACCCCAATTTTGCATATCTGGAGGTTAAAGCTTTCCACATGGCATGTTCCATAAGAGGCTGAACGATAGGAGTTGGTGCTGCCGATGTCTGGACTGAGAAACTATTCCACAGCACCCAGCCAGTGCAAGCCTGGCCACACCTAGCTGCTAACAAGCAACCCTTTGCCCTGACCCTTCATTTTTTGGGGTTGCTGTACAATTGTGCTGCACAATCTCTGACCCACCCACAAACTTCTGAGCCCAGCAGCCACATCTTGGCAGGCAGTTTACACTCCGCCAGTTTCTAGCGTCCCAGACAAGTGGCAAACAGACGAAGGTTATCAAGGCCCCAGAAAGCTGGGCACTTCACATCCTGTCTTCCATGAAATACAATTTATACATTGCTCTGCTAATGTCAATGCTTCGTCACTAGAAAGAGTAACAGTCCAGTAGCACCTTAAAGACTAACAAAATTGGTGGCAGGGTATGAGCTTTCATGAGTCATCTTTCCTTCTTTCCTTCTTTCCTTCTTTCCTTCTTTCCTTCTTTCCTTCCTTCCTTCCTTCCTTCCTTCCTTCCTTCCTTCCTTCCTTCCTTCCTTCCTTTCGTATCCCACCCTCCCCAAATGGGCTCAGGGCGACTGACAACAGAGGCAAATGCCATCACAAACAGTTAAAACTGCATAAAAACAATCAATAAATAAAGATGGGTTCCATCTTGGAGTAATGGGTTCTGGATGGGTTCTGGACTCTTGCTCTTTTCTACTGCTACAGACAGACTAACACAACTACCCATCTTGATCTAAAGCATCATCAGTGCTCATTATAAATGAATAGGTTTGTTTATTTCTTTTGCTGCAATGTTATAACCATTTGTCAAATTCTATAATGTTTGTTGCCTTTTTTTTTAAAAGGAAGCACCAACAAACAAACTTCTTTATGCTAAGGATATTCCACTTTATAAAGAGGAGGTTAAAACTTTCTATAAAGCAATAAGGGAGTTGCCTTCATTGTCCACTTCAGAGCTAGAAGAATTTTTAACTCAGGAATCGAAGGTATAATTCAACTATTTCTACTGGAAATTATTTTTGATATGGTTGAAATGAAGTCCCCAGGTTTTGTGATCTGCTTCATGTCATTCCTTATACGCAGCTCCAAACATCTCTGTGGCACCCAGCATGCACAACTGTTGGTACCTCCCTGCTACTGAACAATGCCTATTGTTTTTATTTATTTATTGACTGCATTTCTGTGTCACCTCTCCAAGGAACCTGCCCAAGGCGTCTTACAAAATAAAACAGAGTAAAAACAGTAATACACCTTAAAAAGTGTTAATTAAAATCCAGAATACTTTCCATTTTCCTTCACCCTGGATGTTAGTTATTAATATAAAATTCAAATAGTAGCTACAACTTAGAAATAAAACTTACAAGTCCCCCCCCCCTTTCTTTCCTCCAGAAGCATGAAAATGAATTTAAAGAAGATGCGGCATTGACTGAGATTTACAGATACATAGCAAAATATTTTGATGAAGTAAGGGTCTCTGTTCTTCTACTCTTATCTTTCTCTAGTTAGCCTTGGTAGAGGTAATATGCATGCTCTGATACCTGTTTTGTATGGTGCTTGTATTCGTGAAGCCTCTGCCTCAGATCGGCTGAGCTGGTGGGTGGTACAGATTTTTCACAAACATTCCAGCTGCTCGGGCAGTAAAGTCATCAGAATGGTTGTAGTATTCAATTCACATGTATATACAGTTGGCTGTGGGCCAAAATTAAGGCACATCAAACCTTTTCACTAGGTTCCAAAGCTACAATTATTGGCAGTTGCTGCTCTGAATCCTTAAAACCTTTGTATGGGGTATCTCCTCATTTCTTATAACTGGGCTTCATCTTCATGCATGTTTTGACAAATAGGTATCGAGGTTCATATGACTAGAGGAACAGTGTGCATGCTATTGAGAGTAAGATTTCCAATATCAAAATACCTTTGTTTAGATCGGTGGTGCAATTGCATTTGGGCTACTAACACTGTGTATAACTTGTTGGCAGAGTAATTAACACAGCAATGGTGCACAACCTGATTAAAGTGCAGATAAAGGTTTATTTAGGAACGAATATACTTGATAGTAAAGAGGAGAGACAGAGATAGGGTCCTAACTACATCTCTAACTGAGAGACAGAGAGTAGAGACTAAAAAAAACAAGCAGGATATTGCCCTAAGAGCAGCAATCTGGATATGAATGACACTTAAAAGGAGAGAAGGTACTGACCTCATGACCATATCTAATTTTCTTGCTGCCCCCTTCAGGGTCTTCTTCTGTTCTTTTTTGTACACCAGACATTGTCTATTCCAACATAACTTTGGTCACCGCTATCAAAGAGGATAATGTAGAGATAGAAAGGACACAGAAGAGGGAAACTAAAATGCTCCCTCTTCCAGAATAAGAAAAAAACTTGGAGCGCTTAATGAGGTGGTTGGATAGTAGATACAGGATAGGGAAAAGGGAGTTCTTGTTCAAACAATGCATTATTACCTTGTGGAATTTATTAGGGCAGGATATAGGGATTGCCACCAGCATAGACCAGATGAAAGTATGATGCTCATGAGGTGAAAGAACTCACCTGTGGGTCTGGGTATTGTTTAAACTTTGCAACAAGCTATATAGAGCAGCTGTAGGTCCTTAGGCAGCACAATATCTACAAGAGCTACAAACCTGTTCCCATGCAGGAACTAAGGGATTTTAAAAAGTAAACACAATCCTGAATTCAACAAACTTCAGGGACCATTCTTCTCTAAATTTTAGCATGTGCAAACATTATTGCCACTAATGCTGCATTCATTCATATATTCAAATTTCAAGCTCTTGATGTCACAGTAAAGTTCTTCTAGTGGACCCTCAAATCTAGGCCGCTTTCCACTGTCCCATGGTTTTCAGTTTCAGTGCACTTCTCTGAATTTCTTTTGCGTATACATGGATGACAGTGGAAGGACTCTTCTGATTAAGGTCTTGATGTGTAGTCTGAAGCATCTCCAACCATGTAATTCAGTATCAGCAATGTTATTTGGAGCTTTTTGATAGGTATACATTTCTGCCCAGTCCTTGGTATGCCAGCAAAGAGGCAGCTTCCACACACCTCATTTATCTCCCATAACCCTGCAAGCCCTTTGCTGCAGTCATCATAGGATGTACTGTACAAGTTTGGTCTTCATTTTGCCAAAATTTTAATTGAGGTTTCTGTCTTCTGCAGAAATGTAGTTCATTCTGTGAATGAGATTTTTTTTAAAAAAAATGTGCGTATGTGCGTACCTGGAAGTCATTGGTGACCTCTGGTGACTGACCCCTCCTGGGGGCCTGAAGGATGTTCAGAGAGGTGGCTGAATAAAGCCTGCCTCCGCCTCCTGACTGCTGGTATTCCAAGGAGGTCTCCCATCCAAGTACTTGCCAGAGTCGACCCTGCTTAGTGTCCAAGATCTGACAAGATCGGGCTTGCCTGGGCAAGCAGGATTTAAAAAAAAAAAAGATGCAGAAATAGCTTGGTGTTAGAAGGAATGGTTTGCTGAGCCAGATCCTTTTCCTGGTGTTTTCAGGATTGAAAGAATGTGTTATTTTTTCAAGCACACATTTCTTTGTTTCCATAGATACTGAATAAATTGGAGAAAGAACAAGGACTGGAAGAAGCACGGAATCAGCTCCTGAATATAAGAGCTTTGGCTGATGAAAAGAAAAAATGCAGATGGGAAGTAGATGAGCTTAATGATCCATGACTATGATAGAAGGGATTTTTTAAATTGCTACTTTAATTCAGCAAAAAAGTCAAATTATTGGCCCCAGTCCAGTTCTAGCCTGTCTAGTTGCACATAGCAGCTAATGATTCCAGATGGGGAAAATGTAAGCCAAAGTGCTGCAGAAGGTTCATCTGCAGCAGCTCAGAGGGCCCAGAGAAGCACTGCATTGAAGCTGTAGACACGCATGCAGATGAACATCGGCACAGACAACTCCTACTGCACATGGATCTGCCTTGTGGATTGATCAAAACTGGCAGCATTTTTAGACAGTATGTACAACTTTTATCATGGCATGTACTGTTTCTGTATGTTTCTATATGTGTGTGTATGTTTTAACAAAGACCTAGAGCTACAAACTGTTTCCATTTTATTTACCAGGCAGTTTGTCTAAATAGCCTGTGTATTCACTGAACTATGGGGCTGTTCAATGTAGGCCTTAAAGTTCTTCTGAGTTATTTCTAAATAAGCACAAATATGTTCCTGCTGCACACGGCCTGTACCTTAAAGGTCAGTGAACCAGTGCAAGTGAGGCCCAAGATGGCTTCATCTGAACATATGTAATTGGCTAGGCATGCTGTTGCATTCCCAGCCAGCAGCAGTGTATCTAGAGCCGGGCAGACAGGGAAGGAAGACGTGCCATGTATTCCTACGGGTTTCTCTATATTCCACTGTCCAGGAGCCCTTCTTCCCTCTCTTTTCCAATAGATAAAAGGCAGTTATGATGAAAACTCAGCTGAGATAAGGGCCAATTAGCACTATAGAGAGTTCATAACAATAATATGGAAATATGTGGCACGACCATGTGCTCCTTTCCTGGCCTGTCATCTTGAGATCTGTACTGCTCAGGTTCTCTGCCTTCTTTTCAGTAAGGCTATGGGATCATGCAGATCTAGGCTCCCGTAACATTCACGGCTGCACATGGATTGGAGTAGGCATTAGAGGAGCCACAGATATTCCTGGAATGACCCTCCCCCATGATTCTTCTAAAGTCAGCACAGGCAAAGAAAGGGCTTGTTTGCCTTTTTCAAGTGCTGCTGTAAGACAGACAAGGATTTCTTTCTTCTGGAGAGAGAGGTGGTGCTCCTGTCTGTCTACTAAACAATACGTTTGTACAAAAATGTTATCAAATTTCAACAGAAAGCTGCAAGCAGACAGGAAAATCCCCACATTAGATACCAGTTTACGTCTGCAACATGTAATTGGATATTGAACCTTATTCTTTAACTCGCTTCTTCCAGCAGCTTCTCAACTGCTTCGTTCTCTGGTAAGAATCAACTCAGCATTGACTCTACTGTGCAGAGTCAGCCTTCCTTTACAGTCTTTTTTTTTCCTGTAAGGGAAAAGCAGTTTGTTGGAGAGACACATTGTTGAAAAATATGTCCACCCAAGCATATAAAAGAGCAACCATCTACCACACCCAGGTAGGACTGCCTGGTAGCAGGAAGAAATATTGCTGCTCCTAATGCTATTGCTCCAGGTAGACGCATGTCTGTCTTGCCAGCAGTGGAAATGAATGGTGTGTGATGGTTACTGCCTTTTGAATGCCTCTTTTATTAATAAATGTAAAGCAAACAAATTAGGGAAAGCGGTGATTTTTTTTCTCCCACTAAGTGTGAAAAAGAAAAGTATTTTTTCATGAACTGAGAAGTTAAAGGGTAGATTGGCACATGTATAGTTCCTGATGGACATTTTGTTTCGTGGGGGCATCAGCAGCGAAAAAAGGATAAGCCCCGCCCATACCCAAGCTAAGCCAATGCCATGAAAGAGGACAGGCTGGCAATTGACTTGTACAACTTTTATACCAATCTCAGATTGGGGTTTTAGCCACAGCCACGTAGAAGAAATGCACGATGACTGCAGAGTGGCTGCTCTATAGTTTGCTTTTTTAAAAATAAATCTTTTGTTGAGCCAATTGTCCCATAGTCCTAGCAGACCAAGAAATCATAGCTGTATATGGTGCACCATTCAGTTATCACAAAATATACCATGCCAGAGGAAAAGTTGGAATCTTGAGTCCAGCACAATTAGTTCTGCAAGTGTCATCTGTGGTTTCAGATAGACATCTTTATAAGTGAAATAGAAGTGGTACAATGCTGATCCTCTCACATAACAACTGTACCACATCAAAAACATACATAAAATCTGGTGTTCTGAGCTAATGATAGATTTATGTAAGGAGGAAGAAACCTTATTATTTTAAACTTTTCATTCCCTGGCTAAAACCCAATCATTACAGTAGAAAAGAGTAAGAGTCCAATAGCACCTAAAGACTAACAAAAAATATCTGAAGAGGTGAGCAGTGACTCACGAAATTTTGTTAGTCCTTAAGGTGCTAGTGGACTCTTACTCTTTTCTACTGCTACAGACAGACTAACACGGCCATCTTCATCTATTATCTCCAATAGTTACAGATGATTAGGCATGTTGGACTGCAACTATTGTGTTGTTAAGAACTGAAACTTTTAACCGATTTGTATAACAAAAATTCAAAATAGCCATGCTCCTTTCCCCAAATCTTTCAACTTATTAACCCTACTTAAACCACTGTGGGCCACGTATCATATCGTACAATGATTGGCTGATTTGATATTTACAGATTACTCAAAGAAACTAAATAATGGTGTATTTGTGACAATCAATGGATGAAGCCATGTAGCTCTGTAATTGTAGATGCCTAAAACAATCTGAACATACTTTTAGATGTTCATAGACAAATAGCTCACATGGGTACAATACATATTAAGTGTACTGTAAAAAGAATTCCTAGCCTGTGCAATTTAAACAATTCTGTAAGAAATGTAAATGAAAATGGTAAATACATTGAATATTTATGTAAGATGTTTTATTTCAAATAAAATTTCTTTGAGGTTTAGTTAGCTAATTTGTCTTTTTGTTCATTTTGTTTAACATATATTTCAAGTTTCTAAGATAAGTCCAAGCCCAAGCCCAAATTGTATGAGGATCGGCCATTATACTGTGATATGGTAGTATAATGGATAGGGCAAGAGCTGTGGCTGCCTAACAAAGTTAAGTAAGGGCAGGATCCCAGGGAGAACCCTCCCCCTCTATTGAACAAGATACCCCAAGATCAGTGCTACCCTGGAGAAATTCCAAGACCTCAAGAACTGAAGCAGAAGAAAAGCAGGCTCAGCTGCTGTTACAACCTGATCACCTGAAAGGAGAATATTTAGAACTTCAAAAAATACCCAGCATTTTTCAGTCCCACCCTCTTGGCCTCCATGTAGTTATTAGAGCAGCTCTGGCATAACGGCTGCTAAATTAGCACTTCAGGTTGGGTTAGGAAATTGTCCTTGAATTCTGTAGCATCCATAAACTAGTGTAACTCACTTTGGTCTGTTTTCTCCAGATTTTGGTGAAGACTTTTGTGAGCAGGTGGAGGAGGGAAGCAGCCCAGGTTCCTTGAGCTCTCTAGTTTTGGAGATATTTATGGTGTTTCTTTGACTGTTCATGAAGCAAACAGCAGCCAAATGTAAGATAAGGCATCGCTGTGAGATTGGTTCTAGCAGGTATTAGAGCTTTTGACTGTAAGGCTCAGTGCAGAAAGACTTCCTTTCTCCTCTGGCCTGGCCCAGGCATCCTCAACCTTTTTTGAGCCTGAGGGCACTTCTGGAATTTTGAGAGAGGGTGAATGCCCAGGGTTGTCAAGTCTCCTCTGGCCACCAGCAGGGTTATGGGGATTAGGGTTACCAGATCAATGCTGGGAAACTCCTGGAGATTTGGGGATGGAGCCTGGGGAGGACTGGGACCTCAGTGGGGTAGAATGCCATAGAGTCCACCCTCCAAAGCATCCATGTTCTCCGTGGGTACTGAACTCTGTAGTCTGGAGATGAATTGTAATTCCGGGGAATCCCCAGATCTCATCTGGAGGCTGGCATTTCTATGACTGCCACCCCAAAGCCAGAACCAAACCCCAAATGGCTGCCACAGTAGATGGAGCCAAGTGGAATACCCTCCCTCCTCATACCTGGGAAGAAGGAAAGCCTGAAGGTGGAATGGAACCCCACACTGACTAAGGAAAGTCTACGTACTTATCAGTCCTTCTTATCCTCCAGTGCAAACCCCTTTCACTTGAATAAGGGCAACCAATAACAAGCCCTGCCTTACAATGGCCCCATCCACTTTCTGAAATGCTTGGTGGGTGCCAAGGGATGCACTCATAGGTAACATAGTGCCCATAGGCACCTTGTTGAGGAACCCTGACCTAGCCTGTAAACAAACAAAGAAACAAAAAATAAAGAAATCATGACTTTAAGCCATGCAGACTGGAATGGGTCCTAAGGAGGAAGTGGCCCTTACATTAGCCCCTGGACTTTGTTCAAGTACCGCCATAATCATTGCCTTGAAAGTCACAACTCTAGCTATGAGATGGTCAGCAGTGAGATCACCCCAGTGTCTGGACCACTGGAAAGTCACAAACAGGGAAAATCCAACCTGGACAGTATTTATTATTCAAATTTATATTCCGCTCTTTTCTCTTCCTGAAAGCAGGTTCAGGGTGGATCACAGCACAATATCAGAAACAGCAAAAAATTCAGACATATAAAATATAAACAGTTAAGACAATTTAAACCAATAGAAATTAAAACAGAGCACACTATTTATCTTCATACAGAGGTTTCCAGCTGGTGCCATTGGCATCTTGAACTTCTTAACCTGGGCCACACGAAAAGGTAGTTTCAGCAGGGGAGGCTGAAATTTTATTTGATGTCCACCCCCTCAGCCAAAGGCCTGGCAGAAGAGCTCCCTTTTGCAGGCCCTGTGGAATGGTAACAAATCTCATAGGGCCAGGGATCACCAGCAGGTATTAATTCGCAGAGCGCAAAGCTCTCCGAGGCACATATGGGCAGAGGCGGTCCCTCAGGTATGTCAGTCCCAGGCCATGCAGGGTGTTAAAGGTTAATACTAATACCTTAAAACATTGAAGTTTAATACCAACACCTTAAATTGGTAGCCAGTGCAATTGGCGTAACACTGGCCAAATGTGCACCCGCACAGGCGATGCTGTCAGCAGGTGTGCCCCCACATTTTGCACTAGCTGGAGTTTCTGGATCAGCCACAAGGGCAAGCCCGCATAAAGCGAGTTACAGTAATCAAGTCTGGAAGTGACCATTGCATGGGTCACTGTAGCCAAGTCCTGGGGGGAGAGGTAGGGAGCCAGTTGCGGGATCTGCAGATCCGGTGATAAAAGGCAGATCTGTTCACTGTGGCGACCTGGGCCTTCTTAGAAAGTAAGGCATCCAGGACCACCCCCAGGCTCCTCACCTTCTGGGACAGTACTGCACCATAGTACTGCCCCATCCTGGGTGGGTAGCCGTATTCCCGATTCAACCCCCCCCCCCCCCCGACTCAGGTACAGGACTGCCGTTTTCGTTGGATTTGTTGAAAATATGTGTGTTGCAAGGTCTAAAATTCAGTCATTATAGGATTAATTTGTTTACCTTGTGGGCTATTGTTTAGACTGACCTGGAAGGACACCCGCCACAGAGCCAATGGAAACAAAGCCGTGAAACTGAAGTCTGTTTACTCACAAGCATTGGTTAATGTATTCAGGTGATTTCCTTCTAGGGGTCAAGAAGAAGAATCACCATTTGTTGTAGACCGTGTGGTCAGTGTAAAGATGTAGTCTTAGGTGTCTTTGTTGTTTTGTAGATTTCCTGTGAACCCTTCCCTTAAAAATAAAGATTTTTGCATAGAAGAAAATGCCTCCTCTCCAGTGAAGCAAAGATCCATTGCAATATCTGAATATTTAATTATTTTGCCGATTTTTCCCAACAGGATTAAGTTTCAACCGGCTCTGTTTCATCCAGCCCAGCCTCCAATGCACATAGTCTGTAGACTCTATAGAATCCATACTAGTTCCACGGCTTATATTTATGTATCGATGGAGAAAACTAGTCTCCAAAGTCGTCACTCACAGAGGGTCACACATGCTTTGGCTGTAAAATTTTCTTTCTGTTAAAACTATGGTTAGAAATATGACACTCCAAATAGGAGGTACCTGTTAGTATGATTAGATTCTCTTGGGTTGCCTTACCCTTTGGTCAGTCCACTGAATAAGTGAACAGCTTTGCCAGGGCTATCTAGACTACAGCAGGAAGGGACAGCTCTACCCTCAGTTGTCACCCAACAGCACTGAGTCTCCACCTTAACAGGGAATGAGGCCCTGACCCAGACCCATTATAATGCCCATTATATTTACAGAAAGCAACTTATTAGAAAAGACCCAAATTGCAGTTTTTGATATTCCCTTTGCAACAGAAAAACAAGACATAGATTGTATTAGGTGAATGACATGAACCTTCAACAACCTGTAATGTGTGCGATCTGCAGAAATCTGAGTTTTCACTTTGCATATTTCAATGTGGCACACTAAAAAAAACCTGACAAAAACTAATTTTAGATGCATTATGAGAATGTAAGCGCATTCAAGGAGGAGAGAAGGCACTCTGGATACAGAAAATCCAATCTCCACCCTCATTGCTGTAGCTAAATGAAAACACAGTAGCCAGGAAATAGATTTTAGAAAAATATAATTATAGGCCCACAATACTTGTGTGGGGGGATTAACTTTGTCGCCAGGCCCGTGCCCAGTGCAACTTCCTGGCCTGAGTCTCTGCCACTGGCGGGCCTGGCGTGACTTCCAGGCTGTGCTGCTGCTGGACCCAGCATGGAGCCCGGGGCTATGCCACTGCCGGACTCAGCATGGCTCCCCAGCACGGCTGCTGACTGCTGGAGGTAAGCGCGTTCTCTGTGTAAGTGCCACTTTACTTTGGGGAGGCATTTAAACCCCCATTTGTGTTTTTTTTGAAATTTTCACATTTTTCTGCAAACTTGAGGAGTCCCCCAAGTTTTCTGGAAAATCTGTTTATGTGGCCCTGATCTATGGATTTAGCTGTCTGCGGATGGGGGCTACATGTTGCTAATAGTATATATACAGATTTGATCTCTGTTAACAAAAATGTTTATTTTCACCACATACAAATATCTGTAAAGAGATAACAAATATTCATACATCAATTATGATAGTTGAAGAATTTATTTTTTCTCTCTATATCCCATAATGTCATGTTAAAGTGCAAATAATCAAGTATGTTATATAAAGTTAGTGATACCAAAATTCCACCTGCTTTTGTAGTCTGTATGGACAGAGTTGGTGCCCACTTCCAAATCACAGTAATCTAGTTATGAAAAACAGAGATATATAAAACAAAAAGGACGCTTTTACAAGGAATTTTTTGCATTCAAAACCTTGACAAATATTGTTAGAAATTTTTTAGTACAAAATACAACCTGATATAAGGTTATAATCCTTATCTGAAATTATACAATATTTTCTTGAACAGTTATTTTTTATTTGCATTACTGTATGGTTGAAATTAACTTTAATTTAAAATGTTACAAAACAACAAAGAATATACTTAGATCTTTCATCTGGTTCAAGGCACATTGAGATGTGAATGCTTTTGGCAAGGGATAATGTGTATCTAATGCTTAATAGTTTAGTTTTGGAGCATATTTAAGGTCCCCAGCTAGTAAATCATCCTCTTCAACATGCTTATTTCTATCACTGTTAAGAGTCCAAACTTGCTACTGATCTAACTCGTTCGGTAGAGGCACCAAGTGCTTGCAACTGTTTTCTCTGTGTGGTTTCCAGATCTTCCAGACGTTTACGAAGCAGGGAAAGTTCTGTTTGATGCTGTTCCTCCTTTAAATTAAGAGGCAAACCGAAGGAGGAAAGGACATTTAGTTTATAGATATATTTGCTATGAACAATACTTTTATGATGAAGGTTATAGAGATGTCATCTGTGAAAAAGGCAATATATTCTTGTGCTTTTGTCTTTTTTGCTCTTAATAAAGTGTCCCAACACAATGTATCATGGAGGCAGGAAGTATGTGCTTGAGTATATTGAAAAGTACCAAAGACCACCTTAAAAGGTATCGTGGCCTGGAGGACTGCAGCTTATTTTCATCCTGCATCTATCAGCTAGGAGTGCTTAACTCCAAAAGTTCAGATTCGTATAAGTTCTACCATAAGAGGTAAAGGAAATTAGTGTAGAAATCTGCTAGACTGCTCGATCTGCACACCCAAGAAGGCTTTGTGTTTCTGGAACAGCAGTTCTCCAAGCCAGGGCTGGGCAGAAGATCACTCAGGAGTGGTCAGTCACTCTCCAAGCAATTAAGAGTAGCCCCCTGACCCTCTTCCAGTGCTGCTATAAGCACTTTCCTATACTTCCCTTTAAAGCTACTGCAGAGGTTTCTCTCCCCTTTTTCTTTTGCATTGAAGGAAGCACACAGGCCTTTGTTCTCAGGGCCGGCCCGAGGTTGTCCTGCACTCTAGGCGAGTGCAGATGCCAACCTCCCGGTGGGGCCTGGAGCAGTAAGGGGACCCCGGAAGAGACTGGTGCACTTTCGCTTTCCGCCCTGCTCCGGCTGCCCGCCCCAGAGAGGCACACGGGAAGGGGGAAGTGCGCCAGTCTCGGGCCCTTCGCCAGGCAGGCAGGCCAGCCGGAGCCCCTCACGTCCCCCCCGGGGCTACCTGCGGACTCAGCAGCGGCAGAGGCAGCAGTCGCGCAAGCCGCTCTGGTTGGGTCCAGTTCGGCAATCGGCGCGTGATTGCTCCCGGGGCAGCCTCGGACTAAGCCGTCGCCCTGCGCGCCTGTTTGTTTGCCCTCCCGCCGCGCTCTGGATGGTGCCTCTGCCTGCCTTGCGACGGGCCCCGCCAGGCCTGGGCAGCGCTCCCCTCGGCCCCATTATGGAGGAGAGGAAATCATGACTTTAAGCCATGCAGACTGGAATGGGTCCTAAGGAGGAAGTGGCCCTTACATTAGCCCCTGGACTTTGTTCAAGTACCGCCATAATCATTGCCTTGAAAGTCACAACTCTAGCTATGAGACGGTCAGCAGTGAGATCACCCCAGTGTCTGGACCAAAGTCACAAACAGGGAAAATCCAACCTGGACAGTATTTATTTATTATTCAAATTTATATTCCGCCCTTCCTGCAAGCAGGCTCAGCCTCCCCCCCCCCTTCTTGCCCCTGCCAGGCTGCGGGCGACGAGAGGCCGCCGGTGATTCCCATGGCCGCCGGGTGTTTAACATGTGGGATTTCCCACTCGGGGGTGCTGATTGGGCCGGCGGCCCCACGGATAGGCTCCCTGCCTGCCTGCCTCGCCAGGGGCCCCGCCGGGCCCGGGCAGTGCTCCCCTCGGCCCCCCTCCCCCCCGCTACCCTTCTTGCCCCGTGCTGCGGGCCGACGAGAGGCTGCCAGCGGCCGCCCCGCCTCTCCTCCCATGCCCTAATGGCCAGCTCGCGCTCTAGGCGAAGGCCTAGTTCACCTAGCGGGCGAGCCGGCCCTGTTTGTTCTGGATGCTCCACCCTCCAGTCTGCTGTTTTGTGACTGATAGCCACCAAGGCTCTTGAAAAAATAAAGAAGCTCTCAGCAACTGTTTGCCCTCTCCTGCTGTAAGCCACATTGAAACTGCTTTGGAACGCGGTTTAGGATAGGACAAAGGACTCAAAGTAAAACAAAAGAAAACGCAAAACCTTCACCTAGCTATGTCCAAGACGCCAAGCTCTTGAGCATGCCCTAAAATAGCTGTTTGGATTCTGAATCTATCACTGAAATTCCTAACCTAACGTAAGCTACCCTGTGCGTGTGTGTGCCTGTACGCGCACACGCTTTCTATACTTTCTGGCATCCAAACCTTTCAGAAAAGCCATCCATGGCAGCTTTTAAAGTATCCTGCACCTTTCCCTTTTATTAATGCTTATGTGATTGATATGGTCCTGTAAAATGATCCTTTGAGGATTTTTTTTGTAATGAGTCACCCACTCGGAGATGAGAGAAGGATACCTCAGGTCCAGGAGCAATGGTTGACGAGAATAAACTGATGGGATTCAGGGTTGAGATGTTTGGAAACAGAATTAACTGGCGAAATTCATTATGTCTGCGCTGTAAATCTTTTAGTCTTTTCTGAAGGTGAATGTGTTCTTCAAAAGGAACATTCTGTCTGAAATAAACAGGAAAAGATGCTACATTAGCTTTCCAGCAGAAGACTTTAAAATGGCATATTCTTCAGATGAACCATAGTGCAATCTGAACAATATCTAAAATTACCTATTTAACACCTGTTTTTCAATTTCCAGTTCTTCTTTCTTGGCTTCTAAGAGCTCTATCTTCTCCAGCAGTTTCTTTCGTTTATTGTCATTAAGTGTCTTTCTCTGTAAATAATAGATCTGTATATTTAGGGATACCATTATTGATTGACTGACATCCCTCAGTACCTTAATATGCAATATTACACTTCCTCCCCCATTAGCCTTAAGCTGAAATCTGACCTAAAATGATCAAGTTAAACCCACGGACAAGGGAAGTACATTAATATAATATTGAGCAACTAATCTTATAACTTAGGAAATACGGCGTAAAGACACATTAGAAAAATATGGAGGGGGAATTATATACCTTTGTTGTGATAAACAAGGATTTATTTTTGCTATATCACATACATTCTTTGCATGTACTACAGAAATAAAGAAGCAAGTGCACTTTGGGGGACAGAACCATCAAGAGGAACAGGAATCCTTAACTTCCTTTTCTGTGCAGTTTGACTTCTTTGGAATGCAGGATGAGGCAAAGCAGGTGGCTACAATTCTGCAGAATTCTAAAAATAACTGGATTGTGAGAATCTTTGTGCAGGAAAAAACCCCAGTCATATATAAAATGTACAATTGGCTCCTCCGGCATGTTTTAGTTCATTCTTGGCTCTCTTAATAATACACAATCTAAAATTAAGTTTTAGTTAAAGTTTACTTGAAATTTCAACACCCTGTTCCACTAAAAGCTTCATCTACAAGTATTTTTTATGAACTCAACAGATTTTTAATAGCGTTTGAATGAGTAAACAAGGACTATTATGTAGGATATATTCAATTCTGATATATGAAGGGAGGGACTATCAGTAGTTTAAAATGCAAGCATCACTTACAATTAATGTTTTCAGCTCAGTGGAACTATATCTGTAGAGCATCTGAGGAGTTCTCTACAAACACTGGTTCAAAAGACATTTGTTTTAAAATCCTTTACAAGTGGTATTATATTCCCATCAGGATTAAGAAAATGCTTGGTACTGGAAACGATTAATGTTAGAGATGCAATTCATCTACTGGGTCTTTTATTCATATCTGTTATTATTGCATGAAGGCCCAAATTTATTAATAAGCTGCTTATATTATCAGTGCTATTATTATCCACTGGGGCTGTCATGATCTGTAGGCCTAGGAGAAAGGCATAGAGGCCTGTGTGGGAGTGGAGAGCAGAGAGCCTACAACCCCCACAATGCTTAGCAACGGTTGTAGCCAATCAGTGTACAGAGATTGTGTGAGGGAATGGAACTTAAGCTTTGTGCACCATGAAACTGTGTTCTTTCTCTTCTGCAGTCTTGTCTCTCACAGAGCTCAACTGAGGGGACAGTCTGGTCTGAGGAAAAGATCCCTCACTTGGGACAGAGTGAGTACAGGCAGGAGGCCTGGTATAAGAGGGCTGTGGGCCTTGAAATAGTAACAAGTGAAATAGGTAGTCACCTTAGAGCTGTTTATTTCACCTTTAAACACTGTTATATATTTTATATATTAAAGTACCTTGTCTGGTTTTCCTTGCCCCATCACTGTGTTAATAAACCATTTGTTTTATGTTCTCTGCCTGGTCATCATGCCTATAGTTCTCAGCTTAAAAAGTGGTGGCAGCTGAAGGTGGCGACCCACAGGGGGTCATGACAGGGGCCCTAGGGCTGCCAAGTCCCCCCGGGGGGCGGATTCCCCCCCGCTTTGGAGGCCCGGTTTCCACCATCGCGGAATCGGCCCCCGGGGGAAACCCCACCCCGGCGTGCACGTCATCCGCATGTTTTCCCCTCAAATGGCTGTGGCCCTGCCCCCAGCGTGCCTGGTGTCATCACGTCACATCCGGATGATGTGCATGCGTGCGCAGAAGACGCTGTCTGGGAGCCCCCCGCTCCAGAAGAAAAACGACTTGGCAACCCTAAGGGGCCCAGTTTAATAATTTGAAGAGTTATGGAAAGAAATTATAGTCATTTCACAGATAATTTGTTGACAAGTGCCAAGCTTCTCATTACTAAGTACTGGAAGCAAGATCACTAACCTTTAATGGACACCTGGAAAAGAAAGATCTGGAATATTATGGCAATAAGGACATTAACTTTTCATAAACTGCTTAGGTATGGGAAATATTCATATGAATTATTTAGAAAACAATAGCATTGTTTTATTGGAACAGAGTTACACTGAATGAATATGTTAGACAAGAAATCCTATTTATGATTTAGTGTAACAAAACATTATTTTGACATGGGAAGCCTGCATTGGAATTTTATTTATGATCCAATATTTGAGTACTGTATCTGTGTCTATCATTTTTTTGTAAGTTTATAAAACAATTTAAAACATCATTTAACATTTTAAGACAGATTTTATTATCTTTTAGGCATTTAAAATCCAAACATGTTTGTTATTAACAGATAATAATATACTTGCTAAATTAGTATAGTAATGGGCCCATCCTAAGGACTGAAGTCGGTGGGCTTACAAGGGTGTAACTCTGCTTAGGATGGCACTGTCAGTCTGCTACGAATCAGAACCAGAATGCAGAAACATAATTCACAACCTAGAATAAAACACTTCCTGCAAAAAATATGTTGTAACGTGCCTTTTTCTGAGCAACTGCAGCTCGGTGTAATTTCTCTTTCATCTGGTCATATGTTTCTTCTGCCTTTGTGATGCGCTGAATGAGTTTATGTTTCTCTTCCAACCATTCCACACGTTTGTTTTCCAAATTCCTAAGGGGAAAAAATACGCAAACAGGTAAGTGAATGTGGTCTGAGATAGTCCTCCAGCTAAGCAGTGATAGTATTGAGCAATGAGGGAGGGCCATCTGAAAGGAGCAGAAGTCCAAGTGTTAGAGAGGAGCAATTCCCAGGCTGTGATGGGGCATACGAGTAAGCCCCAATAAATAAAAATAATATAATTAAAAGTTTCCATCACCCCACAGACAGAGTTGCACATTACATTGCTGCATGATTCACCTCTGGCCACATCTCCTTCCAACCAGGCAATACTGTGGTGAGAAATCCTGCCATATCTCTCCATTTATGGCTCCATTTATGGCCTCTGCCTGAGTCACTGCTATGTGTCCCCAAAATTAAGTTAGAGAAAGCATGCCTTCATTACACATTGTGCTAATGCACCAAGAGCAGAGTTTAAATTACAGTGGCTTTTGGTGTCCACTTACATGCAGCAATTATGGCAACAAACCTGAAGACTGTACTACGAAATTCTATTGGAGACACATTGGCTATGAAACATTCATTTAAGATCTGTCGCATATAGGGATGGTGTCAGGGCACTGGCTTCCCTGGGCAGAAGCCAGCACTCCAAAAGGCTCCTCCCTCTACTGCTGAAACCCTTTGTGGCTCCTCTGGCTGCCTTGTCCACTCACTTGCTCTCTCATCTGCCCCCACACTTAGATGGGCAACAAAGAGGAGGGGCTGCTATGGGGGTCCATCAGAGATAGTTTGCCTCAGGACTCTCCAAAACTTGGAGTCTGCACTGGCAGCAAATAAAAACCCCTTAGATGTTTAATCTGCAGTCTCAGGTGAAAGAACCATTAGGAGAAAAGACCCAAATAAAAGCCCCATTTCTCTCCCCCCGGCCCCGAATGGCCTAGAAAATGAAACAACTCTCCAAATGCAGCACGTCTCCAAATGTAGCACATCAACTCTTGCCAAGTAGTGATTAGGCCCAGACTCCCTGGAACTAGATGCATTAAGTGCTAGTAGCAAGTTCCAAGGGATCAGATTCATTAAAAAAACAAAAAACACTTTAAGATATGAAAGAATATCCAGCTGAAACAATGTGCTCATCCACTTTTTCATACATCTGAAATTTCTCATATGCAGAAGTGGGTTGCCTGCATACGATAATATTTCTTCCAAAGCACTAGGAAAGTTTTCAAATAAATCAATAAGGATTAAGAGAACTCTTGACCTCCAGAAATAACAACTTGTCAAGGGCACTTAAGAACTGGCTATAAATACTTAATCAAGCTATCATCTTGAAACTGCTGAGCTTGACAAATCCCAAAAACTTACTATAGAAACTGATGACTGAGTCACACATTCATGTACATCAAGCAATGACCCCGAAAAAACACAAGCAACCACTAGAACATACTTTGCTAGTAATGAAATGTGTGCTGTATGTGGTATCTGATCCATGACAGCCATCTCAGGCGCATGAATATAATCACTTGAAGTTGCATCATCAAATGATGAACACGCTCCCCCTCCTTAGAAGACTGGGAATTTTAGAGATACATTAACAGTATATTGATTCTTGTGCTGTGGTGGCAGCTGTTACTGAAGCAACTTTCTGCACAACCAATCAGATCCCCAATGGCCAATCAAAAGCCCTGCCAGGCAAAGGCCCCACCTACTTTCTAAAAACATCTGGGCACCCAAAAAAGTGTCAGCAGGTGTCATGGCACCCTGGAGCACCATTTGGGGACCCCTAGTGGGTGTGTTTTCAAATTATAGCTATCAAATATGAAACCCAGTAACTTTTGAAATCATATTTAAAAGCTACTGCAACAGAGAAAATTCATATTACAATCAGCTGATAACCAAAGTTCATTTTTCCACAGTATTGCTTTCTCGTGGTAAGAGCTACATGTTAAGATAGGGCTTGACAAATCTCAAAGGTCACCAGAGTGCCTAGTAATTTCATTGTGGTATTTTCAGCAATTATTTTAGTGCAGTCTCTCCCAGCGATACTTAATGGAAGTACAAAGGGATGGATCCAGCCAGTTTTTTCACTGGTGAGAAAGAAAGGAAGGGTCTCCTTTAACTACCACAAAGGCTATGTCCTGCATGGACAAAAGCAATGGGGGCAGTAATAAAGAGAATTGGCTAAGATTGAGTGACAGAACTGGCTGCAGCCACCCGAAAGTTTATTGATTATTTGGCATCAGAAAGTTTTGTTCTATGATATCACATAATATCATCAGGCAGACTTGTTAACTTGTACTAACTATTCAGTAAAGGTAAAGGTTCCCTTGCTCGAAAGCCAGTCGAATCCGACTCTAGGGTTGTGGTGCTCATCTCCATTTCAAAGCCGAAGAGCCAGCGCTGTCCAAAGACGTTTCCGTGGTCATGTGGCCGGCATGACTAAACACCAAGGCGCACGGAACGCTGTTACCTTCCCACTGAAGTGGTCCCTATTTATCTACTTGCAATTTCTTGCTTTCGAACTGCTAGGTTGGCAGGAGCTGGAACTAGAGACGGGAGCTCACTCTGTCATGCGGCAACTCAGGTCTTGAACTGCTGAACTACCGACCTTCCACAGCCAACTATTGGGATCGCTCCTCAAAAGTGGACTATCCGTCTTGGGCTCTTTTGGAGGCTTTTTCTCTGCCCCCCCCCCTCTTTAAGTGGAATGCATTAGGGTCTAGCTATGCTAGAGTGAAGGGATAGCATTGTGATAAGCTGCTCTAGGTCCCAATTAGGGAGGAAAGCGAGATATAATTCTTTATAATTAAAATAAGTTAAGATTAGGTATTGTTGGACAATAATTTAAAAACTAGACATTAAAATGCAAAACTCTGAAGACTGAAAAAAGCCAGCCTCCTAAATTGTCTCCCTGGCTCCTAGAGGGAAATAATATTTCTCAAGGCCTGCATTAAAATATAACGTGTACCTCTCTGCGTCTAACTGAGCCCTCTCTGCTTGACTTCTTGCATTTTGACATTCATTTTTTAATCTTTCCAGCATGTCCTTGAGTTTCTGATTGGAATCCAGCAAGTCATTCTCTGACTGCGAAAGTGAAGCCACACGGAGCTGCAAATCTTGGATGTGCTGCCAAAAAATAAAACAAAAAAGCCCATAAGAGATTAATTCTGTATTACTTGTCAAAACTCTAGAGGGCAAGCCAGATGTGTCCAGTCATGGTATTATTGCCCGGCTTGTGAGTTCACAAAAGCATCTGGTTGGCTGCTGCTGGAAACAGAATGCTGGACATAATAGGTCTCTCATCCAGGACAGTAGAGCTCCTTTCCTATATCTGTTCTTATCTATTCTTTAAAACTGGCAAGCCCAAATGGAAACGCGTGAACACAAATTTCCCTGTTGGTTTCTGAATTAAAACTGAGTGGCTTTATCACAAAAGTACAAAAGATCATGTCATCAAACCCTCACCTGCTTGAGATTAGCATTGTCGCTTCTCTCTTTTTCTAGCTCTTCAGAATTAATAACTTGCTGTTGAAGCTTTTGCCTACAAAAGTAACACAATGTAGTATCTTTTATTTATACACACACAAACACACACACATATTTAAAAATAAAACAATTTATCTGAGGTTGATATTTTGAAATTTAAAATCTGATAGACAGTGGCATAAAGAACTGAGGGAAAACAACTCCAGAACAATGAAAGGTGGCCCGGTCCAGTATTAATCCTCCACCATGGATCTAAAAGAAATATCAGGTTCCCAAAGAATGCTTCATAAAGATTATTGCTATTGATACTTCTTGGGAGGTGCAGGAGATGGAAGAGCATAAATACAGGGAATGCTAGCATTTGTTGAACATTAACAAGTGGGTAACTATGTGCGTAGTGATCTTTTTAAATGATGGTATAAGGATACTTTGTCAGCTATTTGAAATTTAATGAAGATATAAAAGATTTAGTATAAAAGAATTAAAAAGTATACACTGCATAAATGAAAAGATCTGACTAAATCAGACATAGAAGCCTGGACATAAGAATTAGTGAACATGGCAGCCAAGGAGTGTATACAAGTCAGGCTTCAGAAGGAGAGAAATAAGTACATATGGGGAAATAAAAGGAAGTACTGATTGGCAGTATTGATTACCATCTTTATTTCATATCTCAGCCCCCAAAACTATTTAGTTTGCTTCTTTCATTTGTCTTTGTCTTCTGTACTGGTTCTGCTAATCAGAACCACGAGGAAAGGTGAGATATAAATGTATTTATTAATTAATTTGATTTGTTCTTTTGATACATGTAGATAATTATGAATGGGTGTCAGCATGTGGTTGGATATACAAAAGGTTCACTACAAGAGGTAAAGTCCTTAACAGAAGGAAACTTTATAGCAGGTAGAAATTGTAAAGACAATGTTGAACGGAATGCTACAGAATTAAATGGGGATGAAGAAACAGGCATCTGAAACAACTTCTTATTGATTTATATGCTTATATTAAAATTAAAAATCCAATATAGCTATTTTAAAAATACTGTGAATAAATTGCCACTGAAACTTGAAAGACCTAAATTATGAAGTTTTATCAATTAGGTCTTGAAGATTTCAGTACTGCATAACTGAACAGATGGAGACATTTCAAGAACAAATATAAACATGCTGATGCTGGCAGAGAGATAGATACAAAATAAGAAATTTCCATTTATATGCATTCATGTATGAATTCATTTTTAAAATAAAGAGATACTTTTTCTGCTCAACTTACACTAGGTGTTAAGGTCTACATTCATGTTCTATGCATATTTGTGCAGCATGGAATGCCATGTTCCATAAAATATTTAAAATGTATATGCCTAGTTAGCATTACAATAACTTCATATTACCTAAGGTTCTGAATTTCCCTTCTGTTGGACTCTTCTGTCAACTGCAGAGCTGATATTTTCTTTTCATATTGATCCTTTTCCAGTTGTCTCTCAGAGTCTTGCTCCATTTTGTTTTTCTCCATTTCTGCCAATTTGGTTTCAAGTTCTAGTCTGAAACATTATGCAATATTTATTAGTTGTGAAAAGCAGCAATAATTTTTATTTCTTCATCACATTACTTAAATCATCAATAGCCTAGCCCTGCAAACCACCCCATGAAAGCTAGGGATGTGCAATCAGATATTTAATTAATCAAAATCCAAAACTTCTTTTGGTAAGCAAACCAAACTGAACTGACCAAAATTTAACAGCACATTTTCAGAAATCTTTGGATCTTGCCATTATTGCAGCTGTCTGGCTTAGAAACTGGCCTGGCTCCTTGCTTTAAAAGTTACCAGAGATCAGTTATGTGAAGGGATGTTTACCAGTCAGCAGAACTACATGGATCTTGCCACCAAAGTGGTTCACACTGGTAGGCCTGCCTTTCTAAAGTGTTTACATTGCATTATTGGCTCACTGGACTGGGGAGGGTTTCAACTCAACGTAAGCAGCATCTCCTGTTTGCTCATGTTCTTGGGTACTGAGACAAATGTTTTACCTGCCTGTCAAGTATGCAGCACTGCAGATGTTTCAGAGAGGGGAAACATACAGCTGAATGCTATACTTGTCCTTTTCCCTCAGAAATAAGCACTGCTGCCACTAGAGTGATAGATAACATGTTTTATTTGGATTCTAGGGAGGAAGGGGACTGAGTCTGCACAAATATCTGTAGAACACAGCGAGACCACAACTCCTCAGTGGCTATAATTCCATTCAGCTACAAAAAGAAACCAGTTAGTGTTATGGAAATACTCATAACATAGTTTCATCTTTGGGCAAAATGTCGAAACTCACACATCAATGTCAAAGGCAGAAGGGGCCTTTGTAGTTCTGTAAGGAGCTCAACTCACCTAATCCCATTCTCCACTTGCTCAGAGCAGAGGTGGCTCTATGTTTCTGCCAAATATGCTGCCTGCCTGATGAGCTGTATTATATAAACCTGACTGGTGCCCACTCTGCCATGTTTCCCACTTTCTTGGGCAGTCTTGCCAAATGCTTCCATCTGCCAACTCTGCTGCTTCTCACATCTATCTGTAATTTGGCAGGGAGGATCCCTTGGGAGGGATACATTCTCCAAGAATTTCATACCAGTGGGATGGCAGGAAAAAACTCACAGATTGAAATATGATCTTCATTGACGTGGAAAAGCTTAACAACGGTAAAAAATGTTGTGACCATCTCTAAATGCTCTACTACCAAAAACTTCTTGGAAGAGAGAAAGACTAATTTCAGAAAATGTAGGCTGTACTTCAAATAAATGTAAAGCACTTTCAAGACTCAAAAGTGCAGTAGAAATTAATTAGTAACAATAACTACCAAGGCTTTATAGCGGAGACATAATGCGTGGTATACAGTAATAGGGAAGGAGTCTGTTACTGCTCTAAGTTTTTAACTCTATATAAGGGCTGGACAACAAAATGCACAAATGCACTTACTTTTCCTCCTGGAATACTGCAAGCTTCTGGAAGCCTTCTTCCTTTGCAGCTTGTACTTTTCGTACTAACTCGCGATCCTTTTCCATTAAAAGCACTTTGTGCCGCTCTAACGTTGTCTTCAGTATTTCATTATCTGAGCGTAACTCTGGTTTTATATATTTAAAGTTAGTATCCAGCATTGCTACTGCCATCTGTTATTTAAAGTGCTACTCTTTCACACTCAAGAATCACCTTTAGATGAGTTCAATACTCCCTTGTTTGTTGCCTTACTAGATGCCTCCCACTGCCCCATGTTGGCTATAAATCAGGAACTCTTTATCCATCTGAAATTTAACTAAGAACAGGATACATTCCCTGAGAAATGTATTCCTACTTGAGAAAGCTAATTTAAAATAAATTCCACACAAATGTAAGAAGAATCTTTGACTTGGATCCTATGACACGGTTCCCCTGCAGTGAAAAACCTCCACAGTGGCCAGAGAGAAGCACAAGGGCAACAATGTCATAGGATCCGAGCCTTTATCTGCATTCCAGCAACTATGTCTGTCACAAACATGAACCAGGCTTAGTCCTAGGCATGTGTGCTCCCTTCTTGGCCATCCCTTCTCATGCACAGTACCACAGTTGAAACTTCTGGATACTTTAACAAGTTCGGGCTTGTTTCTTGATTCTAATTAGTGCTATAATGGAGGCAAGGAAAGAAACAAAGCTGAAGTTTGTTAAAGCACCCAGATCTGGATTTCACCACAAACCGGAGTTAGATCGAAAACTTTCTTAAAAGAGGAAGTCCAACTGCAGTTTGGCCCAGGAGAGGAGCGCCTGAGAATTAACCACATTACTCTTGCCCCAAACAACATCTCCTTGACATCTGAAGAGAGTCTTT